AGGTGATCTGGTCCCCAATTAGTAAACTTGGTATAAGATAACGATCTTCGGAAAAGGAGCACCGTCGCAGGCCCTTACTCCGAGCCGTTCTGCTGTCAGATAACCTGCCGATGTATCTGTTGAGATTGGTGCCTTTAAGAATAGTAACTGTTTTGATTGTGTTTTTTTTCTTTCGCCGTATAATCTTTCAAGTATCCTTCAGTCATAATCGCCGCACGTACTCGCATCCTCTACAGAATATTCAACTGTCCCGTGACCCAAGGTGTTAACAACGTGATAAGGGTTGCGTATGATCAATAAGGAGTGCGGTACTGCGTGAACAATATTGAGTATAATCATTCATTAACGTTAAGGTTTTCTTAGCATAGTATTTGCATGTTTTAACGACTCTCTCTCTCACTAACAACCATCGCGTTATGCGGGATCCATGTGCAGTTGTCAAAGTGAAATCAGACAATCGTTGATGATACTGTATTGATGCCGTATTGACGTTCCGGGATTGAGAGTTCGCATACTATATCATAGTTAAGGTTGAATTAGTAATAAATTGATCAATACAGAAGTGGTTGTGTGATTCTTTCCTGAAATCTATGCATAAGATCTGCTTCTGCGTTGAGATTTGAACTTGGTGACCTTAATAAACACACTAATACATACTCAGTAAATGTTAAAGCGATAACGGGGTGAACCGGGGTCTGGTTATCATAACGACTTGCGTTATCATAATTACACCCACTCGCATAATTAATACGATTACCTCTCGAATTGGCATAATTAAAATGTGCGTAATTACATAATTAACATATTTCCGGATAATTACACATTTGGCCAAATTTCATTAATTATTATTATTTCCACTGAATATTCATAACCCACACGTACAACATAATAATTCACCCACGCACGCATACAACATAACAAATTTTCATAACCAACATATACAACAGGAGGGAGGAGGAGAGAGGAGGTGTGAACGAGGATGACGAGGGGGAGTTGTGGTTGATTTTAGAATCCTCGCCACCACACATACACTGGCGGGTAGCAGCTGGACAACCCCCCCCCCCCCCCCTGAAAATCATAACAACAAGAAAGAACCCCTTTGTCAATCCACTGCTGGATGAAGGCTTCCCCGTGTTGTATCGGTCATAGGGATTGTCTCACCAGACTGATGGGACGAGTGCTGTTCGCGAGCACCTACTAAGCAAGGCACGGGGCGTGAAGGGGTGGTATGGCAAGAACCTCGCGCGGCCACTTTTATCTCCCCAAATAATAAATTTACGTTTTTGAAACAATACAATCTGACAGCCTTGGGGTCCTTTTTTGGCCCAAAACAGACTGCACACCCTGCTGATGCGACCAAAAAAGGCGACTTTTCTCCACATACTTTGGCTGCATAAACAAAGGCTGCTGATAAACATCGGGGCAGAGTCCAGGATGACGATGGCCCTTAGCGTCATCTAGGTCTCATCTAGCGATTCTGAACGTGTTTATTGCGTATATGCACACATAACAAGCGGCGAAACAGACATTAGGCATCGCGTGATGGCGCAGTGTAATTTAATTTCCCGTTTAACGTTTTCCAGATACTGCTGAAAGCGTGGCCTAACCCGAAATAAATATGGATCAGCGTTGAAAGCATTCGTGAAATGATCTCTGCCTCTGATACAATATACATCAACCTTTAGGATAGAGTTGTGCTGCCATTAGGGACTCTCCCTAGAGAAAACCGGCCACATTGATAAAAAGGACTTGGACAAAAGTTGGAGACAAAAAAAAAACCAGCGCTAAAAGTACCCGCCTGGGCACTCCGGCCCTACCAGCTTGGAGGCACCCTCCACGGAAAAGCAACTATCCGAGCCACGTTGTCTCATCGCGGCCTACCCACACACTCTCTTCCTACGCGCGCGCCCTACGAGCGTGAGCGCTGCCGTTATTAAACGGCTTCCAGGACAAACGCATGTTGGAAAGCGTAACGGAACCCATGCGTGGGTATGATTTTTCTTCCTTGTCTCCGTAAGTCTCGGGGCACGGTTGGCGTGGTGCTGGAGGATGGAGCAACGCGCCCCTGGCCGGCATCATCTCGGCTGGTTCATCCCACACCCAGCCCCCCATTCAATCCCCCACCCACCAGCCCCCCACCAGCCCCCCATCCAGCTGAAACAGACAACAGCTGTCGAGATGGGAGCGATATCCGATGCGTTTCCCGAGATTAATCAAGATCCGGGTCAGTGCCCTGGCGAGAGTGGAGCGACGGTCATCGCCATTGGCAACCCTGATCAATTTTGTACGACATTCGACATTCCCATGACGGGGGCGAGTTGATAAATAGAGCATCAACTGATGACGTGATGAAATGACGATGATGACTTCCAAGAACGTGATATTAACACATATCGACTGTTAGTCCATAACACTGCCCTAAATGCATGAACGCCACAGATAGTATAAAGAAGGGTCATTGTCTGAAACGTCACCTATTATATTTGTCTTACTCTTTAGGGCAGCGCTGTTGATGTACCTGTTGAGCTCTTGGATGAAACTGATTCAACAGAGGACTGTGGTGGCGACGGATTCCCGGAGGCGTTCATCCAGCAGTGGATCGCTCATGTCCGCTGCTGCTGCTGCTGGAGGGAAACCAGCTGGGTCGACCCCTCCACCACCACCCCCACCCACACCCACCACCCACACCCACCACCCACCCCCACCACCCACCACCCACCCCCACCACCCACACGCGGAATGTGAACTTGGATGTTTACAATTGTGGGGAGCTGAGCCCTTTGACCACTGCATCACCATCCATGCGGATTCATATGTTGTATGGACAATCGGATGCAATATCCGTGGTGGGGGGGGGGGGGCAGAAGAGGTAGAGGGGGTCGGGGTGGGGGTGTCACGGGGGGAGGGAGGGGGCTGTGATTGACAGCTCTTTCCGCGCGTGGTGTGTGTGAGTCTATAGCCCCACGAGACAAAAATGAAAATCTCTCGTGTTTCGGATAAACATCATCCCATTTATATTGCTCGCGCAACCCGGAATAGCCCACAAAGGTTGTATATATATAGTCCACGCGTAGATACAAAGACGCACCACACATACAAATACAGTATATAGCCACAGTGATGACGAGCAGACACGTGCAATGCGCCTCGGTTGCGGGCCGCTTTCCTTTGGCATGTATCGCCCAGTAATTTCCTCTCAGCTGCGGGTTTCATTAATATCGATAAGAGTTCATTAGGGGCTTAATTATCATTGCACGTTAGTGAGCGCGGCGGTGGCGACGGCGGCCAAACGGACCGCGATGCGTAGTGAGGCAGAGCGAAGCTTCACTTCGGAGTGCGGGGTGGGAGGACGGCCTCTGGGCGAGATGTGACAATCTCGAGTTACGTCAGAGATTTCATAACAATCCGTGCCACCGTCAAAACCGACAGCATCGCAAATGTTAAGCGCATCGCGAGGGCGGCAGCGGAGACAGCTCTGCAGAAGTTGCTCATGAACCAGCTTTGCGGGAAATTGCATTTCAAACGGCCTCGGTTTCGTCTGTAACATAAATAAATAAAAATCTGCGCCGCTTGGGGAAACGAGAGCCGCGGTGCCGCTATCTTCACTTTCACGAGCGCGGCTGTCTGGAGACTGCCGCGGATTTCTAAGCCCGAGCGTGGAGATGGTTTGTCAGTGCCGGTGATTCACGCTGACGATTAGGAGGGTGGTGCTGGGTGTTACTCAACTCATTAAATATAAAACACACGCGCTCCCTTTAAACGGAATCGCATCACTGGACGAGGTGGCTTTCTGGTTGATGGGATTCATAATGACCGTGTCAGAAACACGTGCACAAAGACAAAGATCTCCGGGTTTTTTTCGCCTTAACACTGTTGTTAAGGCAAGTCATGTGTGCCAGAATCGATGAAGGCCGACACGGCACATGAGACGGTGGATGGCCAACAGCCTAATCGCCGATGTTGACACTCTGCAACAGCTACTAACTTCACGGCGGAGACGATCCGGCGGGGCCGTTTGAAAGAGTCGCCACTGTTATCGGTCGTGAGCGGGAACTGAACTCGAGTGGCCGGGTACGTAGCGCAGTGCGCTAACCACTACACTACCACTCCCCCCCGCACACACGTACACACCACACGTACACACCACACGTACACACCACACGTACACACCACACGTACACAGACCTAGCGGACGCACACAGTCGAGAGCGCGAGTCGAAGCCCCGAGTCTGCGTGTCTCTGTCTCGCTCTCTGTCTCTCGCGGTGGTGATCGTGGCGTGGCCGTGCCAGTTACACCACCGAGGCCCTGGGTTTTAAATCCGAGTTTCACCTGCCGATTGCTTTCTTGTGTGTGCATCGTGGTTAGCTGGAGCGGTCGTGTAGTGGTTAGTGCACTGCGCTACGAACGCGCTCACGCCCAATAACAGTGGCGAACATTAGAACCAGTCCTCGGTCACTCCTCGGCCGAGTCATCCTGAAAAGTGAAGTTGGTTCCGTGTGTACACACCGACACTGGGGAGGCTGGGCGTGGTGTGTGCTAACCCACCCCCCCCCTGATGCGCACCGGCACGCGCGTGAACGCGCGCGCAGAGCCGCGCTCGTTCCCTTGAGGAGGTGAGGCGAGATGATGGGGCGCAGTGTGGGCGAGCGGCGAGGGGTGATGAACGTAGTGAGAACGGAGGGCAGTGGTCGGGAGGAGGGAGGAGAGAGACGTTTAAGGAGAGGAAATGAAAGGCAGGAGATGAAGGCGGGGGGGGCAGGGACTGTGTGGTGGTGGTGGGGGGCGAGGTTGGGAGGAAGGAATTGGAGGGAGGAAGCGGGGTTGGGAGGAAGGGATTTGAAGGAGGCGAGCGAGGCGTGCAGGGGGCAGAGGAAGCGACGGGAGGGGGCAGGGCGGGGGGCAGCCCTGAGGAGAAGGCGCGATGGATGGAGGGGGGGGCACAATGGTGCGGGGGGGGGGAGACGGAATCCACCGAACCCACGACCACGTGGCCTCTCACCTGAGTCCGATAGGCTGCCGCACCGTAAACTTCTGCTCGTTGCCCAGAACTTGGCTGATCTGCGGCCACAGAGAGGGGGGCGGGGCGGGGGGGTAGACCACACAGTGCGGTTCATCACGAGACGTCGAGACGCGATTACCCACGCATGCCGAGCCCGGCAGACACCGTCGTCGATACATTATTATCGCCGGACCACTTCGATCTCTCGGCGCGGCAGTCACAAGACGAGGCAGGCCTCTTAAATGCAACGGGCCATCCGCAGGTGGCGCGCGTCAGGGTCAGGTGTGGGCACTCGAGGCACACTGCGGGCCAGAGCGGCGTGAGCGAGAAAATCGCCTTCAACTCTCCTCCACATTCATCGCCCCGGCGTGCGGCGCGCGGCCTTGTCAACAACAACAACAACATCAATAACAACAACAACATCAATAACAACATCAACAACATCAATAACAACAGCCCGCCGGAATATAAAATGCACGAGGTGCGATGCCATTTTGTCCACGCGAGACAAACGACGGCTTTCAATGCGGGAGGAGATGCGACGGTGTGGGATTGCCCGCACACAAAGATCCCCCGTGTAGCCTTAACAGGCTGTTGGGGCAAGTGCTGTTAGCGAGTAGCACCTATGAAGGCCGGCACGGCACACGCCGCTATGAGTACACGTGCCACTGTGAGTACACGTGTGACGTCACTATGACTACACGTGTCACTGTGAGTACACGTGTGACGTCACTATGAGTACACGTGTCACTATGAGTACACGTGTGACGTCACTATGACTACACGTGTCACGTGTCCGTCCGTGTCGTGGGGACAAACACATCGCTCGGGCAGCCCGACGAGCCACGCGCTCCGGAGGCGGCGACTCGCATCGTCGGTGGACTCGCGACATCATAGCGCAGTGCGCTAACCACTACACTACCACTACCCCCCCCGCACATCATCGTCGGTGGACTCACGACATCATCGTCGGTGGACTCGCGACGTCATCGTCGTCACGGCCAGCAGGACGAACCGCGGCAATGGCCGTGATCCAACTCACATTTCTTTTTGGCTTCTTCATGAACCGAACTAATGCCCTGAAAAAAGCCACCAGCACGTGCAGCGTAACGTCGGACATCACGCCAAAGAGCACACGGCCACAACGTAGACTGCCACACACAAACACAACACAAACACAACACCACACATATACACAACACAACCACACATACACACCACATACCCACATACACAACACAAACACAACACATACACAACACAAACACAACACAAACACACGTACACAACACAAACACAACACAAACACATACACACATATACAAACACATACACAACACAAACAACACGGCACACACAAACACAACACCACACACAACCACAACACAACCACACATACACAACACATACACCACGGCACACACAAACACAACACCACACACAACCACAACACAACCACACATACACAACACATACACACATACACACACAAACACAACACGGCACACACAAACACAACACCACACACATACACTACACAAACACAACACAAACACATACACAACACAAACACAACACAAACACATACACAACACAAACACACATACACAACACGGCACACACACACATAGCGCGGCGTGGCTATTTTGACTCCATAATCATGAGGAACCGCTCAGTTCACGACGCGGGATGACAGAAGAGCTGTACAGATGCCACCGGAGGAGAGAGGGAGACCGAGGGGGGATCGGCAGGGTGCGGTGGGGCGAGACACGGGGGCAAGGACGTGACTCGAGAAGACGCGGAGAACGGAGGCTCACGGGGAGAGATGGAGAGAGAGCGAGACGCTGACCCCCCCCCCCCCCCCCCCGTGCATTCAGTGAAACTCCTGGCTAAGAAGAAGACACAATAACGATATGAGATAATGGATCTCGGCATTTGTGCCGGCCGGTCTATCTTATACTGAAATAAGCGACGGGGGATTGCACGCAATTGCATTAGCTCACAAAAGCTGCCATTTACAGCACGCATGCAGTGCCATTGAGATGCGGAGAGCGATTTAATGCAACCGCATCTCGGGATTTTTGCAGAGATAAGTGTGGGCGAGGGGGGGGGTATGAGTAGTGCGAGAGGGGGGCACAGGAAGGCATCCTGTGGGGGGTTGACAGACTACTCTCTGACATCCCCAACGCCCAATTACATGTTCAGCCATTCTCAATCCACCCAAGGTTAAGGTCTCCAGAATCATGGGGGGGGGGGGGGTTGACCATACCTCCCCACGCTGGCCATCGTGGGGTGGCCCATCGTGGGGTGGCGTGAAGGGAGGGCACGGGAGGAGGCAAGCGTGATGTCGTTGTTGTAAACGTCACCCTCTTGGGGTGCAGTTGTTGTTGTAAACGTCACCCTCTTGGGGTGAAGTGAGCGAAGAGGGAATGGCGCAGGCACTGAACACACACAGTGGCGTGTACACTGAACACACACACACAGTGGCGTGTACACTGAACACACACAGTGACGTGTACACTGAACACACACACAGTGACGTGTACACTGAACACACACACAGCGACGTGTACACTGAACACACACACAGCGACGTGTACACAGATAGGGACCAACACTCAATGAAAAACTAATTTCTTGAGAACTTATTTTTGTGTTTAGTTTATTGTCCTTCCCCGGCATTTCCGATCAGTAGTTGACTGCGTACGGTGCGAAAGAAGTTCAACATACATACATGCACCCAGCGGTAGCGCCATCAGAGTTTGTTGCATAAATTCACGATTCGAACCCCCGGCCGTCCTGGTTAATGCTGCGAGGTGTATTAACCGCGCATAACATCGCGTCGGCTGCGTCAAGCAAGGGCCACGTGGCACCACCGTCACGGCCCACATGTGCACTCTACACGGGCGATTTACTCAACCGGGAAACACATGGCAATCGTCGTACTGTAAGAAAAAAATAGTTTTCAGGATCCTCCTGAAAAGTAAAATTGAGACGAATTATTAGTGGGAAAACAAAGACGAATAATATCAACAAATTTAATATCAACAAATTACAGTAAAATACTGACGCAGCCACGCGAACAGCCTGTAAGCTGATCTAACGCTGCGAAATATAATTACTTCTTAAATGCTTATCTCCTAATGAGCTGCTATCAGCGCCACGCTGCCAGGAGTCGGGGAACCCGTTTTCTTGTATTTGGAACTCTCGCAGAAAGCAAAGGACAACCGCGGAAGACGACACTGCAGAACGCCTTCCGAGCTCCCTGCCACCGCACTGTGGCTCCTCAGCGCTCGGCGCGCGGCAGCCAAACCGATGCGTGGTGGAGACTTGTTTCTTCTTCTTCTCAGTCTGAAAATAGACCCGTGTTTGGGCTGAGTGCCGAATTCAGTGGAAACCAAGTTAACGCGATGGGCTTCTTGAAGCCATTGGTCACCACAGTGGCGCAGCAATCGAGTGTTGCAGGCGATGTAACTGCACAGTGCCGCGCGGTCCGGATCTTGGCTGGCTGTGAAGAGGGAGGGGAATTGAGCGGATGGCCCCCTCCTTTTAGACTAAAAACTATGAAACTAAACTATTTTTTGATTTTACCAGGTGAGGCCCATTGAGCTATGTAGTTCTATTTCAGAAGCCACCTGGCCACAAATTATAGCTCAACGAAGTGGCTAATGACGTGGCAATTTAGAGCATACTCTAAACGCATATTGAGTCTAAATGTGGAGGGGAAAACCGGAGGACCCGGAGAAAAATCCACGTGACCAAGGGGAGAGAGAGACACTCCAACTCCAAATATACAGCAGCAGGCGTCAGGGTCGGGATGGAACCCACGAGCATCTCCCAGCCACCGTGGCACCCCCTGTGGCATGGTCCGCGTGGCGCATGCTGACCGCGCTACGCCACGGGGTCACCAGGCTGAGGCCATCTCCTCGCCGCACCTTAGAACCCGGTGGGGTCACAGTTGGGGGGGGGGGGGGCAGAGACCCGGATTCGAACCTAGGTCCGCAACGACGCCGTTGAAACCCACGTGGAGCCACTCGGACCACCTCGATCGTGTTTATTAACGCACCGTCACGGGTGGGCAGGACACGGTCAATTTGAAACGGAAATTTTAGGGAAACATTTTCATGCAAAATGAGCGTGAGTAGCGAATCGTTCTGCTATTGTCCGGCGTGCATTCTGCTCGAGCCCTCAGCCACCGCGTGCACGAGGAAAGGCTGCGATGCCCGTGGCTATACATTTTTAGAATTCATGAGGGGGGGGGGCTAAGTCCCATTCGGCCCCCTCCCCACCGACGCTATGGGGCGGTGAGTCGGCAGTGGAATTCATGGCTGACTAATTTGCGAGCCAAACGTGCCCGGAAGATTTGATGCGATGGGAAGCTCCCCCCCCCCCCCCCCCCAGTGAGATTTGCACTTCAGAGTCAGTGCGAGGGGAGGGGATAGCGGAGGACGATGATGGGCAGGAAAGGTGGGAGAGTTGTGGGGGAGTGGGGGGAGCTGTTCTCACACCTTGGCATGTGTCCTTTCGGTGGAGGTAAAGGGCTGCTTTCATCTCCGCAGGAAAATACCAACAATGTCGCAGTCGCGAGCAATTAAGTTGCCTCCTCTCGGCGGTCAACGCCCTCGGCGCAGGTCGTGAAGCCGGCTGGCGTTTGTCTTCGTCTGGGTCCGCGCCTGTCCATTGGGATGGTTTTCTGTTTTTTTTACAGTTTTATCGCATTTAACGTCCTGTTCGTTGCGCAACGATTTGTCGCGACGTGACCACTCGCCGTGACACTGCGTGCGCCCCTGCGGGTGCGTTTCGCGGTGCGGCTGTGTGTGTTTTAGAGTCGTACCGCGTGCTGCTCGGCGCAATGTCCGACGTTTCGCTCCACGTGTAGCTCGTTAAGAAGCTCCCTGCACGCGTGTGTGTGTGACATGCCTCATTGGCCCCCCTTGCAAAACAGATCCAGGTGCGATTGTTCCACTGCTAGATGAGAGCCTCCCTACGCCGCGACGGTCGTGGTGTTACTTGACCATACTTCACCATACTGGTCAGTGAGATTTGTTGATGGAGGGCA